TAAACCCTCAACCCTAAACCCTAAACCCTAAACCCTAAACCCTAAACCCTAAACCCTAAACCCTAAACCCACCATCAGAAGAACCCTCAAAATGAGCTGCAACAACAGAAGCTGGAATTCGCCATAGATAAACCCGCTGACGCCTGCACAGCACAAACCCTAAACCCTAAACCCTAAACCCTAAACCCTAAACCCTAAACCCTAGGCCCTAAACCCTAAACCCTAAACCCTAAACCCTAAAAATCTTAAACCCTAAACCCTAAAAATCCTAAACCCTAAACTCTATTGATGAGCTCAAAACCCTTGTTATGTATCACAAGCGGTGCTGTTGCTGCTGCTGCTTCTGCTGCTGCTGCTGCTGCTGCTTCGCTTGCTGTTGCAGCTGTTGTTCCTAATGCTGCTACTACTACTACTGCTGCTGCTGCTGCTGCTGCTGGTGCTGCTGCTGCTGCTGCTGGTGCTGCTGCTGCTGCTGCTTTAGGCCGAGCACTACAGGAGGGTTTCTCTGTCTCTTCTTTTGTCTCTTTTTCTGTCTCCTTTTCTGTCTCTTTTTCTGTCTCCTTTCTGTCTCCTTTTCTGTCTCCTCTCTATCTATCTGCTGCTGCTTGCTGTCTCCTTTTATCTTTATTTTGTCTCCTTTATTTTGTCTCTTTCTTTCTGTCTCCTTTCTCTTTCTTTCTGTCTATTTCTCTCTGTCTCCTTTCTCTTTCTGTCTCCTTTCTCTTTCTTTTTTTCTGTCTCTTTCTCTCTGTCTCTTTGTTTCTGTCTCCTTTCTCTTCCTTTCTCTCTCCTTTTCCTTTCTGTCTCTCTCTCTCTGTCTCCTTTTTCTTTTTTTCTGTCTCCTTTCTGTTTCTATCTAAACTTTGTCTCCTTTTTATATATTTCTGTCTCTTTTCTCTATCTTTCTGTCTCCTTTCTCTCTCTGTGTGTATACTATCTCTCTCTGCTGCTGTATGTGTTTCCTTTTATCTCACCCCTGCTGCTGCTGCTGCTGCTGCTGCTGCTGCTGCTCTGCTGCTTCCTTTGCATGCAGTGAGCGCCGCAGCCGCAGCCGCGTCGTCCTCCCAACCAACCCAGCTCCACATACACCTGAAGGAGAAACTGCTGCTGCTGCTGCTGCTGCTGCTGCAGCAGCAGGATTTGCTGCTGCAGTCGGAGACACAGACGCAGCAGCAGCAGCAGAATCTGTTGCTGTTGCTGCAGCTGTATCACCAGCAGCAGCAACAGCAGCACCAGACTCTCCCCCTCCTCCTCTCCCTTCTCCTTCTCCTTCTCCCGCAGCAGCACCAGCAGCAGCAGCAGCAGCAGCAGCAGCAGGAGCAGGAGGGGGCCAGAGGTGTCTGGGGGGTCTATGTGTTCTCGTGGCTGCAGCAACAGCAAGCGACAGC